CACAGCCAGGTTGGCCACTGCACGAGGATGCTCGGCTGAGGGAATGGAGCTGGAATCCGGCCGCTTCCTCGCCGGAGCTGTGCACCCCGGCGAGGATCTGTGTCTGCCCAGAGCAAGAGGCATGATTTTCTAATTCAGACAAAGTGTCGTCTGGGCTGGCATTGGCTCCACTACCACTTTATAGCGATAAAGCTTTTCACATGGGTATCTCATTTGGTGCTCTCACCAGCCACAGGCAGTATGGCCAGGGGTGAGCATACCCTGGCCCAGAGGAGTGCAGTGACTTGCTGAGGGAACGAGAGGAGTGTGTGACGGAGCCGGAATACCTGTGCTGCTTTTGTCTCCCATGTGTCATGTTATCCGGCGTGGACGGGAGCAGTGTTCTGACGCTGCCGGATCCCCTTGCCTGCCGCACATCTCATTGCAGCTAATGAATTGCTAATACAATTTTCTAGATAATTTTATTTTCATAGTCCCACATTTTAATGTGTTTCCAAAAGCTAGCATTTATTTGCTTAATCTCCCAGTGTAATAGAATCTGCCCTGAGTCATCTTACATGCGGACAATCAGCTAGGCAGAAACGAAGGCAAATTGGTTAATAACTCGGAGCTAGCCTCGAGATTTTTAACATGCACGCACTGATAGCTTTTCTTGGGCCTTGTCCACGTCTCCCCTGCCCTTTCCTTTTTTCTTTAAAAATAGTTTTCCATTCTTTCAGCTGTTTGTGTCCAGGCACAAGACTGGGGAGAATGGATGCGGACCTCGGGGCCCCTTGTCTTCATCTCTGAGCCTGTGTCAGTGTATCGTGGCCAGGGAGAGCCCTGAGCCTTGCTGGATGTCCCAGGACGGGGAGAGAGACCATGGGAGGGACTTGGCTGCCCTTCTTTCTAGTTGGTGGCTGTATAAACATAAAACCTGTCACCAAGGTACAGAGCTGGCTGTCTGGGACCTCAGGTGCACTGTGCCACCTACTTGAGCCTGGGCCCCAGGTCCTGCCCTGCTGCCTCCTCGGGTTTCATTCTTTCACTCCTGTCCTTGCTGGTTCCCACCCTCCTTAAGTGGTGGCGCAAAAGCCATCAGCTCTCTCCCTGCTTCCAGCCACCTGCCTCTGCTGTTGGTCCCCAGGCTGCCCCTCACATACCAGGAGGACCATGCCAGCACCCGCATCCTTAGTGGCACAGCACTGCCTGTAGAATGAAATCTAGTCTGTCCCACCTGGCAGACTAGTGCCCTCTGTGATCCAACCCCAGTAACCTTCCCCACTTATATCTCTCTCCTCAGGGCCTGTTCTCGGTCCCCTCCTGCTCCAAAATTTGCTTGTGGTGTTTCCTTGACCTGACTCTGGTTCCCCACCTCCTAGTCCTGGTGGGGACTCTTCATTTTCCAAAACCATTGAGAAAAGCCTCTCGGAATCTTCTCCAAAGCCTCCTGAAGTCACCCTGTCTGTCCTCTGGTTGGTTGTTGGATTGGTGTCCCCCAGTGGTCTGGGACCCTAGTTCTCTGGTTGATCTCAGCACCTCCCTGGTCACAGTGTTACACTTGGTCATATTCACTGAGTCAGCTTACTGGACACAGAGTGGGTTCAAGCCATCCTGAAAAGGAGGGAGGCACAGTGGGAAGTCCAAGGGGACAGAGTGCTGTAGGAGCCTTAGTCTGTCCTGCAAGGTGGTGCCAGCCCTCAGAGCTCCTCTGGGCCTGGCTTTTTAGGCTCAGGGTGTCCCACCCAGAATGCCATTCATGTTCCCTATGACCCAGGCTCCTTCCATTCTAGAGATTTCAGGTGATACGTGAGGAAAAGCCTGAGCATGGCTTACCCAGGAAGCCCGCTCCATCTACTGATTTGAAGCTGTGCTTAATCCAGGTTCTCTGTGGGGTGACCTTAGGGACAGAGAGGGGGATGGTGCTAAGGGCCCTTGGATGGAATAGCGAGGGCTGTTTGTCAGAGAGCACGTGGCAGATGGACTCCACCCCTGGATGTGTTGGCCAGGATGGATTGGACTCTGGGGACTCACCGTCAGTGTTGGTCTGCTTCTGCCTGGACAGCCCACTCCCTTTGGTGTGGACAGCCCCTCGATCAGGTGGGGCTGTGTGGCCCCTATCTCCCAGAGAGTTTGCTGACTGCCAGGGGTTTGGAAGCCTTCAGAGAGCCAAGCCATGCCTGTGAGTTTGCCCCCAGTCCGCTCCTCTAGCACAGGTTCTCTGAGTATTGCTGAGTGAGCCCTGGGTGCATGCGAGCTCCTGAACCAGCTGGCTGGACCTGGCTTGCTGGGGTGTTACTTTGCTTTTCTGGGAGAAGCCCAGGCGGATAGGTGGCAGATCCAGAGGTAGGCATGGGCCCAGCCCTGTGGTTTCTGACACCAGACTGACCTAGGCATTTTAAAATCTCAACTCTGCCTCTTTCTCACTGTGTGACCTTAGACAAGTTACTTAATCTCTCTGTTTTCCCACTTGTAAAAAGGGGGATGAGAATGCTTGCCTTGGAGAGTAGCAAGTTTTAAATGAGATGACAGCATAGATAAAGCACCTAGGACAGTGCCTATATCAGTTCCCTTCCCTTCTTCTCTGAGGCCAGGAGCAGAATGCCCTGCGCTCCTGTTGTCCCCCTGCTCGGCCTGGCCTGGTCCTGGGTGCTGGCAGCGTGAATTGCACATGGCTGCAGGCGCCTCATCTCTCAGTGTCTACACGGGTGGCTGTGAGGGGTGGAGGAATAGGGGGAGTGAGAGGTCTTGCTTTCCCACAAATCCATCCCCAGACCGGCCATGAATGGGACTGAGGCGGGAGAACAGGCCTCCCACTTGCTGTCTCCACTGGTGGACCAGAGGGCAGCCAGGCTCTTCATGCCATCCTTCTCTGCACCCCACTTTCCGCCAGGAGCCCCTAATTCCACACTGAGCAGACTACGACCCCTGCAGCCAAAGCTCTGCCTCTTCCTCCCCTCTGAGCTGGGTGACAGATACCAGGCATGCCTACCTCTCCTGCTCTGACCCTCCCCTGGGCCTGAGCACAGGTAATACTGCCCAGATGCCAGCAAAGGGAGGTGAGCAGCGGCTGGGCCTGCTAGGGGAGCTGACATGCTAATGGAGACAGAATCCAAAATAGTGGGCACTAACCCAGTTAGGACCTAGATGGGGGTTAGGTGCTTCCTTGGGCGGTGCTGCACCCAGAGAGGCTGTGGCCCCAGGGCAGCATTGGACAGGGGCTCAGAACCAACAGGAAATGGCAGCCTGTCTTTGGAGGGTACCATGGGTACCTACCTGCCTGTCCAAGAATGACTGGACTGAATTAAATGAAAATCTCATGTTACTCATTAGCTTAAAATCCTTTGAAAATTGCCCTTTGGTCTTGGGATGAAACCTCTAAAGCTCTTAATATGGTTTTCAGGACCCCCCACGACCTGG